CACAGGTTTCCACTGGGTGCTCTACTTTCCTCCCACAGTCCAAAGACATGCTGGTAGGTTAATTGGCTTTTGGGAAAACTGTGTGCCTTGTTAGGGCCTGGCATCCTGTCCAGGGTGTACCCATATGGGGCAGTACCGTGGGGTGGCTCTGTGGCTAAGGATCTGCGCCTGTGGCTGGAAGGTTGCCAGTTCGTATCCCGCGGCCGGCAGAGGAATCCTACTTCATTAGGCCCCTGAGCAGGGCCCTTAACCCCAACTGCTCCAGGGGTGCTGTATAAATGGCTGACCCTGCGCTCTGACCCCCAACTTCTCTCCCTGTCTTTGTGTCTCATGGAGATCAAGCTGAGATCATGCGAAAAGACAAATTCCTCAAACAAGAAATTCTATGTGGCCAATAATGTGATCTTATCTTATCATTGCGCCTGGTGCTTCCCAGTATAGACACTGGCTCCCCTGCAACCCTGAACTGGACAGAGAGGTCAGAAAACAGATGTATGGACAAAGGACAGGACTGCTGTCACTCAGGCCAGACCAGCATCCATCTCACTCGAGGCTAGTCACACCCGACCAGCATCTTCAGAATAGGGGAAAAAAGAGAAAACCCACACATACTTGGGCAGAACATGCAAACTCCACACAGAAGGACCCCCCAGCCCAGAATCAAACCCAGAAGCCGAGTGGCAGTAGGACTAACTATTATGCCAATGTGAAGTTAAAGCACCTGGTGTTCGTTAAAATAATAACAAAAACAACAGATAAATTACATAGAATTATAAATCCATGACTTTTTAAAAATTAGGTCACATGGGGATTTATTCAATCTCTGCTTGTTTCTGAATCACTCTGCAGACTGTTCTGCTTACTCAGTCCTGGTTTGGAGGAAGAAGAAATAATACAGGCAGAGGCTCTCTCTGTTTATTCCCTGACTTACATGTGTTTGCCTTACAAACAGAACAGCCTGCAGCTGGAGAGAGAAGAGAAGGACAGAATATCAAAGTCCAGCCTAGTCATCACAGGAGTAGCAAGTGATAGCACCAGCACATGGGACAGAGAGACACAAAAACATTAGACTTGTACAGTTTTCGTCAGCTCTGCCAAGTTTCAACACACTTCCTAAACTCCATGCTGCAAGGAAGCTAGCTGAAGGTTCACCTCTATGTGTGATATTCTCACTCCTGGGGGATTACAGTCCACCTGGTTTTATAGGAGACATAATCATTAATGAGCATAGAGCCGAAAGCAGTGGACTGAAAATCACAAGACCAGGCCCCTGTCCAGAACCAGAAGCAGCTTATACCACAATGTTTTCCTGCAAATCAGCTCTAGTGACGTTTTTGTTAAGACCACTTTGAGATTAACAATAAGTAACTCTTCTCTGTTTCTGGTGATTTCTATTGGTGTTGTGTCTTACAGCCCCTGGGGTTGGTTAATTAAAAAAAATAAAGATATTTCGTTTTTAATTAGGGGATGACTTTTATTATGTTGCCACCTCAACTCTAACCCTACAGCGCCAGTGTGTCTCCTTTATCTTGTTCTAACTGAGCTCTGAATCAAATGCGTTATTTGAACTCTAGCTGTTTGTTAAGACCTATTCAGTGAGTGAGCAGATAGATGGGGTTAGTAATTAGTATCAATGCAGAATCAAACTGCTGTTGAGACCCTTTGTGTTATTTACTGTATATACTCATCCAGCGGGTCGATGGTAAGTAACGACACAGTTCCATCTCCCCCTGTGTCTGTCCACTACAAAACTGTCACTTATTAGGAGGTGTGTAGACAGAAATAAGGCAGAGAGTTGAGGACAGATCGAACAGAGCTCTGTTTGCATTGTTTTTTTTTCATTCAGAACAAATCTGCAGCTAAGTATTTTGAAACCCAAGACCGGGTGCAGAAATGGATCAATCAAACAAGACGCTCAATTACAGTGATCAATTAGCCTCAGTCAGTGCTGGATTTCCCATTAGGCACAGTGCCTAGGGAAACGCTAGTGACGAACGAAAAACGAGCTGAAACAACATGCCTGCGATCGACTCTAGGTGCCTCAAATCAATAATCATACGCTATCTAGCTGTTCTTCTAGAAACTAGAAGTAGCGAAGTGATGGTCTCTCGACTCGCTCCTTCAATCACGGGGTTCAGCATTAGTATAGTGGGGCGCCCACACCAGTCGCTCTAGCGGCTGCACCTCCCCTTAGCTACGCGCCCGCAAGG